CTGAACCTCTTCTGGACCTCCGACGCCAGCGTGGAGAAGGTCGGCGTGCGCGACATCTACGCCCGGGCCTTAAGCCTTCCGTGCCGGGAGCCGCAGGCTGAACCGTACATTAAGGAGGCTAGGCTTCCTACAAGCCTGCTGCTAGGGTTTAGGGCTTTACGGTCAGGACTTCAGGGTTTAGTTTGGCGGTGTGTGGGTCAAGGTGAGGCAATCCGGGGGCAAGCACATAGACGTATCGTGCACGGCATGTCAGCAGTACCCAAAATCCTCTGATCTAAACTTCAATCCGCAGCCGCAAATGGCCACTGTGTCCCGGGCTTTGTGTGGTTTGGGGTCGAAAGGGCTTTTACAGTCTTGCAGTCAGGTCGGAGAGGGCATCGTTGCGAAAGCTTTACGACGTCGTAATTGTACGATTGACTGGTTGGCATGTTACTATCCACAATCACGAGTCCGAGCACTTGCTAAGCAGTCTCAAATAAGCAATAAACTCACACCGCAGTAACCCGCAAGCCATACCGTGAGTTCTAAACCTACAGACGGTGCGCAACCCTAATCCCAAAGCCTATAAACGGAACCGGTCGTGCAGCTAAGGCCTTGGAGTTCCAGATCTTTAAGAATCCGCTCTGGTCTTTCTTCTACATCTTCTCTGTGTCGCTGGGCTTTATGCTGCAGATGGTTTAGGGTGCAGTGCTGTTGGGGGTCAGGGTGTTGGGCTTCAGGGCTAGAAGTGCAGGCTTGATTTAGGGCTCTTCGATCCGCTTTTGGCAAGCGTTGAATGGTGTTCAACAGTTTCACAGGCGTTTGCTGCACTCGTCTTGACGGATCGAGGGGGTGACACTGGAGGACGGTTCAGGGATTGATTCAGGGCTTTTGAGATTGCTGCGTTAAGGCCTTATCCGAACCTTGCCTGCTTGGGCCACTGGCTTTCACGTTGGGTCCCAGCATCTGTTTGGAAGGTTCATCTTCATGTACCATGCCTGCATCGGCTGGAAGAAGGCACCAGTGCGGCACTGTTTTCGGGGTAATGTTGACGGTCTGCTAGGAGACCCTACATATTCCTAAATCATCACACGCGTTCGTCCAGGATTCAAGGTCGATTCCTTCTGACTTAAGGCGTGTTGGGCTCCGTGGGATTGCGCGTCCAACGTCCGAGCTGCAGACGGCCAGCAAGTGGCCTGCGAAGCATAAAAAACACAGCTTCCAAGCCCTGAACCCCAAATCCCAAATCAAGTCCTGGAATTTGGGAGTTATGGCACGTTTCTCTTATCAGCAGAAAGTACTATGGGGACGAAGGTGCAGCAAGCCCCAACTGGAGCCCTGCTTACTAGGTCCACTGATCCTCGAAATAAGCTTTTGGGCTTTAGCGGCTCCAGAAACCCTAAATTGCCTGAGCCCTCAACCTTCAACCCTAGGCTCTCGGTCTTTAGTTCCGGAGCTCTTCGTTGGTGGCATCCCCTGAAAGTTAAAATCTTCCCAGCAGGTGACGCCCGTGCTCGGAATCCCCAGGGGTCACATCTGGCGGGTGGAGCTCATTGGCTATGGCATCATGCGGCTCGGTAGACCGATTTGATCCGGCACCTCATAGACCCCAAATCCTAAAGTCCACACAAGTTCACAGGCGCTCTCTGGATGTAAGAGGATGTAGGACGTGCTCTCAAGGATATCAAAGCTCCAGTTCCGAACCGCAACACGGGCCCAGGGTTTTCAGCCTGTGGCTTCAGGGTTCCGGATCTTGGATGAACCGGCTCTTTAGGATTTAGTGCCGCTTACACGAATCGCAACATTTGTCTTCCGAGTTCCTCGGCAGAGTTATAGCATACAGCCCACAAGCAGCCCTAGTAGACTTTGCAAAGGCTGTTAGTTACACTATAAATCCCACACGAGCAATACCTTGAGAAGGACCTTGTGATGAACCCCCACGATCTCACGATTTACCCAGATCAGAAACGTGCAGCCCAGGATCGTCATGGGCCTGGTCTACATCTCCTTCCCGCTCTACGTCATGGCCACCAAACCCTTCGGGGGCTTCTTGGCTCAGAGCAAGCCTTGAACCCAATGAGCTAAGCACCCTCAACTGGAAAATCCGAAGCCCGAAAACCCCAAGAACTACAGCTCAAAAAGCCGCAAGACCGAGGGTTACTTCTGCGGTTTGGGGCGCCTCAGCTTTGGGCTTGGGGCTTCTGCAGAAACGTGAAGCCACACCTTTGAATCCAGAACCTCCGTGGGAACCTCCAATGCCCAAAACCTGTCGGGGACAGCAGCTCAGATAGAAGCTTGGACTCTGAAATCACAGAGCCCTGAAGCCCTACAGTCATGAACTCTAAAGCCCTAAACTTGAAAGATCAATGTATCAAGTAGATCATTGGTTTTACGGCCTGAGGGTTTAATCCGAAGCCCGAAGAGAGACTACTGGGGGCCGAGGTGGGCCGAAACAGCTTCGCAAGCGAGGGACCACTGCGGTTCGGTGCATCTAGCGCCATCGAGCTGGCCTTCCGCGACCGTTAATCAAACCTTGAGCATCATCGAGCACTAAGCTGACAATGACCTGGAAAAGCCTCCGAGAATCCAAACCCTAACCCGAACAAGAAACTGAAAGCAGTAGACGCGTTGAGCCGCAAGCCTCAAGCCAAGCAATAACCATGAGGCACCAGTGCAAGAATACTTTGAGTCTTGGAGTTTCCTGATGTATCGTCCCCTCGAAGCTATGAAGGCTATGAGATGAGCATCCAGATTCCGGGCCGAGAGGAGTGAGGCCCCTTCTGCAGAGTCCCGGTAGCCACAAAGCAGATGAAGATCAACTTTTGAAGGTCATGTCCCTTCACGGGAGGTTTCAGCAGTTCAGCTTCATGTGCTGTTTGGTCACGAACTAGGGTTGCTGGGCTGTGGATGTAGGGCTTCTTTGGGTTACACAAGGTTTGGTGGTTTCTGTTCAGTATGAGGAGTTTTTTGTGCTTTGTGTGTGGTTTCGGGCTACATGTTTTGGGCCTTCGGGCGCGAAAGCTTTGCCGCGGAGAGCTGCAACGAAGCCTTGGGACGTGCGGTGCACAGACGGGCTGACTATTGAAGTCCTGAACCGCAGTGCAAAGCTTCAGCAGCATCCTCTTGCAAGCCCCTCAATTCCAGACTCTAGGCCCTGAACCATCAAGCTCAAAATGCAACACCCAAAACGATTGACTCTAAATCCTCGATCCTCTTCGATCTTGCTGTGCCCAACGAACGATTCCCGAGTATAGGGGTTTTGATGATAGTTTGAAGTTTTTGGTGTGAAGGGATCCAACAAAAAGGATGTCAATACTATCTGATCAGCAGTGTAAACCAGGAGGCTTTGAGATCTGGGTGGTTCAGGGCTTAGAGTTGAGGGGCTTTGGGCTTGAGGGTTCAGCGGAAGAGAGTTCAGGCCGGGGGCATTACTTCCAGAGGGGACTTGGCTCCCAAGTTGTAATTCGTGCTACTTGGGGCCATCCCACTTGTAGCGACCATGAAATCCTAGTTACCACCACCTACTTTAAGCATCCCGTGATCCTGCAACTTGAGCCAAAGCCTCTTTGATCTAAGCTGCACGGCAGGCACCGCTCCTGCGAACGACGCGATCAGCTTCTGTGAGCTCACCGTCGCCGTGAAAGGAGCAAAAAGATGCACCCGCACTGATTGGACTTTAGGATTTTGCGACTTTGCGGTTTCGCAGGTTTGGGGGCTTAGGACTTTTGGGGAGTGTAGGGTTTTGGTTGTATGGATATCTGTCTATCTATCTAGCCAGCTAGACTTCTACTTGTTTATCTATCTATCTATTTATCTGTCTACCTATCGGTCTATCTATCCATCTGTCTATCTATCTATCCATCTATCTATCCGTCTACCCATCCGTCTAACCATCTATCTATCTACCTATCCATCTATCTATCTATCCATCTTTCCATCTGTCTATCCATCTGTCTATCCACCTGTCTATCCATCTGTCTTTCCATCTGTCTATCTGTCTATCCATCTATCTATCTATTTATCTATCTATTTATCTATCTATCTATCTATCTGTCTATATACCTATATATACAGCAAGAAAGATGGATCGATAGATAGATAGATGGATAGTATGTGTGCTTCGTTGCCTTTTCGAGGGTGCAGGGATCAGGGGTTGTGGTTTAGGGGTTTAGGGACTAGTTCAGGGTTTCGTGGTTAGGGTTCTGGATCAGATAGAAGGTTTGGGTTCGGGCCGGGTTGGACCTGGAGCCTGGGACTGGTCTAGCCGACACAAGGAACCGGCAACTGAACTGGCAGCTGTTTCTTTTAAGAGGGTTCTTCCTTGGCGCCCTCCGTCGTCTGGCGCTCTTGCACAGCCCAGGGCCCAGAGTTGTCTTGACAAGTTTTCCAAGATCTGATAGGACTCTTAGGGCTCAAAAGATGTAAGCCAAGCCTGGCAGGTTCAATACCTCGCGTTATCATCATTGTCTCTTGATAGAATCATATGTGCTGAAGCCCAAGTCGTGTCCTTTTTGTCCCTTCGTTACATCGGTCTAAGAGGGTTGCGACTAAGATCGGGGTTGGCATTTTGCCTTGGCCCTGCGCCCTAAACCCGAAGACTTCTTCAGCTTCCCTCAAAGTTGACGCTTCATCTGGGCCCTAGCGTGGGATGAGAGTTTAGGTTTTCAATGTTGGGCTTCGGGGTTCAGGAGTTGAAGCGGTGGGTTCAGGGCTTGTGGCTCGAAAGGCGATGTGTACTTCGGTACACTCGCCCTGTGCCCTGTCGGTACGCCAAAGGGCAAAGACTGACAAAGTATTCCATCACCCGCACGTGAAAGTTCAGAGGTTTTGATGAGGCATGCGGTCAGCACCTTGATCCTACTTCTCACCCGAGTTACATGGGCTGTACAGCTCTCAGGCTCGGAGGTTAGGAACCCAGAGTTTTAAGGTTTACGGCTAAGGGTTCATTGTTGAGGGTTTCAGGCTGTGGCTTTTCGGCCCCGAGATTGACGCCTGCCAACAGCTTAAGTAAGGACAGCGAGCCACCGAGTCCACTCGATTCCGAGCCTTCAGCTAGGTGGCTTCGGGGTCATGGTGCAACATCGGATCCGTAACCTAAATCCGCAAACAAATCCCGCCGGAGAGCCCCAAAGCCCTCAAGTACCACAGAGACCCAGCCCCAAACCCCAAACCATCCCCAATCCACTCCACCAGGCGCTGTCACAGAAGCGTCCATTGAACAACAGCCGCCCAGAAAGCACTTCTTTCAGCCCTTCTGAACTTCATTCGCCAGGTTTTGTCACAGAAGATGGCGTGCTCATTCCCGACCAACCAAGCCATCGTCGTCGGCGGCGGCCTGGGAGGCGCACGGAATCCCCGACTGGGGCCTCGGGGGAAGAGCTTAAAGGTGGAGGGTCTAAGGTTGTGGGACGCGGGTTCGGGGTTCAGGGTGAAATGGGCGCAGAGCCGAGGCTCTCGACACCGTAGCTGCAGCTTCAGCACCTTTCAGATCTCGTTGAAGTATTCTTCCTCAAGGGGCAGAAGATCATCCAACAGGACCCCCGCAGCGTCGCCTTCGGCCTGAACATTGAACCCCACGAATCTTTACCCTCGAAACCTTCGCCCGCATTACGTCAAGGATCGGGGGAATATCTCAGCCGTCGCCAACACGGCACTGACGATCCACGTCGAAAGTAGACATCGGAGATTTGAAGCACCTGGAGAGGCATGTCTGCCGCGAATACCGTCGTGGAGCATGGTGGCAGGGTAGTTTTGCTCGATGGGGCCTCAGCTGTCGCACTGCCGGCAGAGGGTTTAGCATGCATGGGCCTGC